CTTTCCCTAGCCTTTCCTTTTAACACTGGAACTCAGGGTCAACCAATGAGCTTGATTGGCAGAGATTAACACCGACAAAACCTTCTTCACACGGCACATAATTAGTTTCTGGACGTCTTTGCCAAAAGATGCATTGATGGCCACTGGCAAACCAGCCTGCTGTTGTGGTTTGAGTGTCAGACGATGATCAGGGAATTATTATCATCATATGGCAGTGTGCATAGTTTATCCAGGAGATCCTAAGATTGTCTGGCAGCCAGAAGTTCTAGCTCTTTTAGTGTTACGTACCACTAGGTACTGAACTAGACTTGTTTTTAAGGCAAGAGACATTTCAGAGGTGGTTTGCCATTGCCTGCCCCCTGCGTCCTCACCCTGGTATTCCTTGGAGGTCTCCCATCCAAATACTAGATGAGGCTGACACTGGTTAGCTTCCAAGATCTGACAAGACTGGGCTAGCCTGGACTATCCAGATCTCAGCTGATTAGGGAGATCTGGCCTATGATCGGCGAGGTTTGAATCCCCACCCTGACACAGAAGCTCGCTGGGTGACCTGGGGCCAGTCACGTGCTCTCAGCCTAGCCTGCCTCACAGAGTTGAGGTGAGGATAAAATGCAAAAGGTGAGAATGTGGTCAGCTATTTTGGGTCCCCATCGGGGAGCAAAGGGAGGGATCAATGAAATGAAATGAAATAAAGTGAACGAATCAAAGGTCCATCAATTGCTGTTAGCCATGATAGCTACATGGAGCCTCCATGGTCACAGACAGTGTACCTCTAACTATCAGTTGATATGCAGAGGTGTGAATTTTGGAGATGGTTTTTTTAATCTTACTTTTGTCTTCAGATGTTTTGTTTGTTTTTATTTAATTTGCTAGTGTACCTAGTTGAATTTCATTCATTCATTCATTCATTCATTCAATCATTCCCACCAGCAATGACTTATCCTCTTCCTCCTCCCTTCCATTTTTTTTCATCTCCTCTTTTGTACGCCTTTCCCCCTTCCTGGCCCTTCCACCCACCAAATCTTTGAGAGTAACAGCCCCCTAACGAGGGTGGGTGGGTTTGAACACCAGACAGGACTGGGGGAAGAACATCTCCCCTTCCTCCCCTGGGGCCTTGGATGCTCTTTCCCAAGACACATTGAAGTCTTACAGCATCATGGGAAATGTAGTCCTCAGCTTCTGAAACAGAACACAGTTTGGGGTTCAGTAATGTTTGTTCGTTTGTCATCCATTTAGAATTCGATAGACATCGCTGTCCTTGGGGACGAGAAATTGTTTCCCTTCATTAGAGTTGCCAACCTCCAGGGAGGACCTGGAAATCTAGAAGTGTAGCACGTAGGAAAGTTAGTAGGTGAGGAGCATGCAAGAAACAGAGAGGTTAAGAGATAAACCTGAGGAATTGATGGCCGTACATTCCTAAGTGTACTTCTTAGTCCATGCCTTTAACAGTGAGGCCCTCAACCCTAGATAAGAAGAATGAAACAAAGGGATAGAGGTGGGTGGAAGAGACAGAATGTCTTTGAAGATGGGGGCCCCACAAGATGCAACTTTTAAGTCCTGCAAGCCTAACCCAGGTGTCACTACTGAGGGCCAAGAATGTGGCTATTGACCTGATGGCACCATCTGGTGGAGACAGATAGGCATTACATTTATTTCCTTCCATACGTGATAAATTGTGGTGCCAGAATTGTTTCATACACTTAGCCAGAGACAATAGTTTGCTTATTTTAAAACACCCAGGAAAGATACGGAAAATCAAAATTAGGTTTCAACATATGTTTATGTGCAGGGGTCATTTCGTAGAAAAAGAGGTGCAGGAGCTCACTAGCATAACTCATTAGCATGACTCAGTTGCATATGCCACATCGCCGGAAGTGTGTCAGAAGGCAACACCCACCACTCAGGCTCCACTGGACTGTTTTGGATTGCGAGCTATTGGGGGGGGGACGTGCAGATCTGTCCTCGCAGAGGAGGGAGAGCTTGTATCTGAATAAAACTTGGTCTTAAAGGTGCCACTGGACTGTTTTGGACCGGGGGGCTGGGGGGGGCTCTGAAACTTACCTGGCTGCTTCTTGCTCTGACTGAGGGCTGCTGGGAGCAGGGGGTGGGGCATGTTGCAAGTGCCCGCCCCCTGGGCTCTTTACTGCCGGAGCTTCGCTCCTGTGTGCTCCTGCAGGAAATGACCCCTGATAAGCATTCAGATATGTTTAAAACTGCTTTAATTTGTTGTGGCTTCCTTTAAAGAATCAAGGGATTTCAGTGTGGCAAATACCATCAGGGGAGGGGGCATAATTCTCACGGGATTTCCCTCCCAAGAAAACCCTGGGGTTTTTCACTTGGTGGCTGAGCAGAGAACTCGTTGGTACTGATGGCTCACCCAGGGTTGCCATCTCTGGGTTGGGAAATTCCTGGATATTTGGGGGTGGAACCCGAGGAGAGACCTCAGCAAGGTATAATGCCATGGAGCGTACCCTACAAAACAGTCATTTTCTCCAGGGAAAACTGATCTCTGTAGTGTGGATATCAGCTGTAATTCGGGGTGGTCTCCTGGCCCCACCTGGAGGTTGGCAACCTTAGCCTTGGTCCATCACAAAACTACCATTTTGGGGCACTGTTGAATGGAAAGAAGAGACTGGTTTGAACTGGCTGAACTCTGCAGTTCAGAAAGGTTCAAGGGGGGGGGGCAATTCAAAATATCTTTTCCTTTTCTGAAACACGTCAATTTTAAAAAAAGACTCCTATCCTGTGGTTTCTTTCCAACTTAGACACATCTAGTCCTGTCTGGTATCATGAAGACAATTCTGTTCTATCCACTTCGGGATTGGACGTCAGTCATTCCAACATGCCATGGCTTAATGTGAGAATACGACAGATCTCGATAGTGCACCCTATGAATCTGAATAATTATGCCATCTTAGGATCAAACTACATATTACCATTTTCTTCCCTGTTAATTTAAAAAAGACTTTCCTAAATGTAGCCTCCAGGGCTACTTTTTCAAGGCGGCAAAGCGTTATGAAGGGGGTGCCTCTTGAAACCCCTCCCCACATTGGCAAACATCCTAGTTTGCTTTTATCCCCAGTAGGCAAATATTCGGAAGTCTGCCATTTCTCCAGGAGGGCTCCTTACCACTCTCCGGCCTTGTGTACATCTATGTTCATTAATGTTGCATAGCAACTGTATGTCACATTTTTATTGCAAAGATATTTATGTTGGTGCATTGGTTTATTGCTGTTTTCAACTTTGCAAATTGCCTTCATTTGTTCAAAAAAACACAGCATGTGTGTTTGTGTGTGAAGTGCCTTCAGGTTTCAGCCCGCTTATGGTGACTCAAGTGGCTCAAGTGCTTAAGACACTGAACTGCAGGCTGTGGATGGTCGGTAGTTCAGCAGTTCGAGACCCAAGTGTGCCGCATGATGGAGTGAGCTCCCATCTCTAGTTCCAGCTCCTGCCAACCTAGCAGTTCGAAAGCAAGAAATTGCAAGTAGATAAATAGGTAGCACTTCGGTGGGAAGGGAACAGCGTTCTGTGCGCCTTGGTGTTTAGTCATGCTGGCCATATGACCACGGAAACTTCTTCGGACAGTGCTGGCTCTTCGGCTTTGAAACGAAGGTGAGCACCGCAACCCTAGAGTCGGACTCGACTGGCTTTCAAGCAAGGGAACTTTTACCTCTACCTTTATGGTGACCCCATTGGGTTTTCTAGACAAATGAGTAAGCAGAGGTGGGTCGCCGTGGCCTTCCTCTGCGGAGCCTTCCTTGGTGGTCCCCCACCCAAGTACCAGCGCTGCTTAGCACCCGAGATCTGACAAGATCAGACTACACTGGACCATTCCACAATGCCAAAAATGTCGTATACAAATGCCTAAATAAATATTTATATCAAAATGAAGAGGCATACAGTTAAAAAAACCCAAAATGTAAAAATCTAATAAAATAATTGGTGTTTCCCCCACCCAAAGCAAGATAAACATGCAAAAATGGTATAATAAACCAACCCAAAGAAAATTCAAGCACAGCAGAGAGACTCCAATCAAGCATTAAAAACTTTGGCGTCTTTTATTTCACTCTTAACCCGTCGCTGAAAGGGTGATAATGTTAGCATCTTCAAGATCTTTCCATGGGAAGTATTCCACAAGCAGGGGACCACCACCCAAAAGCGTATTTTCACCCCCGTATGGCTGACAATGAATTTGTGGCTGGTGATTTCAACTGGGAACTTGCTCACAATATACACGTCTATATTACATCAGCTTAGCTATCGGTGGTGGTGTCATTAAATGACAGCTGGCTTATGGTGACCCAGTAAGGTTTGCAAAGCAAGAGAGGAATGGGGTTGGTTTGCCATTGCTTACCTCTGCATAGCAACCCTGGACTACCTTGGTGGACTCCCATCCAAATACTAACCAGGGCTAACCCTGCTTAGCTCCCAAGATCTGATGAGATCAGGCCAGCCT